AATTCAGCAATGAAATTACAACTGTGGTTAAGAGAGCTGGGCTCTACATGCTGACTTCCAACAACACATGATTCTGGTAATGACTAAATTATTGCGTGCCTGTAGGGCCACTCTACAGGTGAGGGCTATTCACTAAGGTAGTAACTGAGTGGTATACATCGAATCATCAAACAACTGACCACCTAGCTGCACCTCTCCTCAGAACCTCAGTTTCTCCATTCATAAACCAAAAGGGGCTAACATGGATTGAATGAACCCTGGGCCTTAAACATGCTATGCAAGTACTGTACCACTGCGCCCCATCTCTAGCCCTTTTCAAATTTTATTTTAAAGATGGGATGGAGGAACATGCCTTAGTCTCAGAACTTCAGAGGCTTAGGTAGAAGATGGAAAGTTTGAGTCTGGTCTGGGTAACTAAGTTAGACTGTCTCAAAAAGAAAAAGGTTTAAATACTGCCTAGTGTGAAGGCCTAGAGATCAACCCCCAGCACCTAAAAACAAAAAATACTAATAGCTTCAAGAGAAGGGCCAGCCAGACACCTCAGCAGACTAAAGTGCCTGCTTAGGCAGAGTACACTGGCCAGTTTCAATCCCTGTTGTGCTGGCCCCGCCCCTAGGGCACAATGAGATGGCAACTGAGACTGGGCATGGTGGTGCGGGTCTATAATCCCAGCACCTGGGAGGCTAAAAACAGGAGAATCACTACAAGTCTGATCTGTGTAGTGAGACCTTGTAGACCCTGTACTAAATATATATAAAAATTTATTCAATATTCAATATCAAATTATAATTAACAGTGAAAATGAAAACTGATCTAATTTCTTTCAACCTGTTAACTATAAAAAAAATACGATGCAGATAAAAGTAGCTCAGCAGCATAAGCATCTGCTGGGCAAGCACAAGGTCCTAAGTTTGGTTCCTAGTACTGCCAAAAAAAAATAATAATAAATAAAAGTGCACACATATAATTTAATGAGTAATTAGAAAACAAATATAGTAAGATACAGAACATATTATAAGATACGGTATATTGCCAGCATCCCCAAATAATAATATATTTCCTCCTTTCTAGTGGCAGAAACACACTGTTGATTTTAAGGTAACACTTCCTTTAAAAAATACACTCTAGGGGGCTGGGGCAATAGCTTAGTAGAATAAGTGCTTGCCTGGCAAGCGCAAGGGCCTGAGTTCAATCCCTGGTTCTGGGGAAAAAAAAAATTTATAGGGGCCAATGAGATAGCTGAATGGTCTAAAGTGCCTGCTCAGGCAAGCACAGGGACTGTGGTTTGATCCCTGGCACCATATGCTGTGCCAACTGTAGCTCCGTACAGGGGCACACTCCTAAAATCCAAAACTCAGGAAGCTGAGACATGAAGATCACTGCCAATTTGAGGCCAGCTTGGACTACACAGTTCAAGGCCAGCTGAAATGCACAGTGAGACCCTGTCTCAAAACACCAAATCAAACCAAACCATCATGAACACAGATATAAACATTCTCAACAATAATGTTTAGTTTTACCCATTTTTGAATTTTATATTTAGGGAGTCCTACTACATACACTTTTTTTTTATTTGTGTGTGTGTGTGTGGCCAGCTCAGCCCACCAGGGGGCGGGGCTGGCTGGCATGTGGTGCTGGGGGATTGAACCGCGGTCCCTGATACTTTGCTAAGCTTGTTAAGTAGGTGCTTTAGACCACTGAGCCATCTCACCAGCCCTACATACACTCTTGACATATATATTTTTTAATTCTATGTATTTATTTGGCACAGGGTCTCACTACAGAGCTAGGACTCATAGTGATCCTTTCTCAGTCTCCCCAGTACTGGGATTAGAGGCGTGCACCACCACGCCTGGTTTTGGGGCTGGCAGTGTACCTAGCACAGCATATGGCACTGGGGATTGAATCTGCGTCTTTGTGCTTGCCAGACAGGTGCTTAGACCACTGAGCTGTCTCTCCAGCCTTGAGATATTTCTTTTGCTCATATCACGCTCACAATATGTATAATGTTGGTAAGCAGTGTTTTGGCTTTTCCTGTATAGCTATCCATTGTATTAATTTATAATTCACTCTGCTGTCTTCACAGAGTCACTTGTGTTATTTCCATGTCTGAGCTGTATCAGCAACAAAAATGCTAAAAGTGTCTTCTACTTGCTTCCTGATAATATACATATATGAACTTCTCCAAGCTCTATTTGGGAAGGGAAGGAGTATGCATACATTCAAGATATGTTTGCAGTGTCAAGCTGTTCTCTAGTGTTTGCACTAATTTACACTCATGGTATTTGAGAGCTTGTGGTGCTAACCTCTGCTCCAATATCTAGTGATAGAGTGGTAACTACGTATTTCCCTAAAAGACTGACGAGGTTGAACACTTTTTCATTTAGCTATCATCTCCATGGAACTCTTCTGCTTCTACTCCTTTTTATGCCTGTCTGAGACCCAAATTTTCACCTACCAGTTAACTAGCAATCAAAAAAGTTAAAAAAGTATAGCTAAGATGAAAACAGAGAAACAGATTAATCTGCTTGCTTAGGCAGATGCAGGGACCACAGGGATCAGAGTGATCCCCAGTATGCCCTGCTGGGCCCTCACTGGGGCATGCCAAGACGGCTATTGAGACCAGGCATGGTGGCATGTGCCTGTAATCCTGATTGGGAGCCTGTAAACTGGAGCATCACTATGAGTCTGATCTATGTAGTGAGACCTGTAGACTCTGTCCTAAATACAGAAAAAAAAAGTCTTAGAAGAAACAAAAGGGCAAAACTTTCATTTTGATGAACAAAATGGTACAAATAAAACAAATTAGTATCTACCTTAAAAATATTTTTGAAACAAGCAAGAATAATTTGAATTTCTTCCTACTTCCTATTTCTTCTTCCTTGTTTTTTAGTGGCACATTCTTTAATAGGTCCTTAAGGCAACAGATTTAAACTAACACAATTTAATTTGATTTTAACTTTTTAAAACATCACCTCGGGCCGGGGAGATGGCTCAGTGGAATAAGTGCTTCCCTGGCAAGCGCAAAGGACTGAGTTCAATACCTGGTTCCACCAAAAAAAAAAAAAAAAAACAAAACATCACCTCAAAATAGACGCTCAAAATAATGCCCTCATCATAGTTTTAAAATGTACTCAGATGTTTCATAAAAAATAACAGTGGCTTTATTATAGTTGTGTGTATTAGCACTACAAAAGTTATGGGTCTACACCAAGTTTCCATAAAAAACTTCTACTTCTTAGGAGCTCACCATAAAACATCACATTGGCTTTAACCAGTTGGGTAGTGCACAAAAAACAGTTTTATTGGATGCTGGTGCTTTTATTGTACTACTATATTATCAAAATTTTTTTCATTAGATCTTTAAAATCCAACTTCTAAAAAGTAAATCACCTGCGACTTAGACTTCAGAACAAAGCAGAGACACCTGCAGCTATCAGTAAATGCCACCTTTAATCCATTCTGCGGTGCCCTATGAAAGGGTCACAGAAAGACAGTTATGACTGTAGGGAAAATATGATTCTTGATACAAAATCAAGTTATTTTCAATTTCCTTTGCTTTTATAAAGTCCACAATAACAATACTTAAATGCACTTTTTTTCCCTATACTATTAAAACCCAGTGTTACTTAAACTGAACTTAAAATAGTCCGTCTGAATTAGACTTTTACTCATACTGTAAACATACATTTGGTATAATTTATTGATCACTGTTCAGCTGCTCCAAAAGGGTGGTTCTCTGCTTTTCTAACTCCCCCTCACTCAGTTCACTGCTAGAAGTATCCCAATTACCCTAGCAGGACCCAGGTGTTAGGTTTCATCTCCAGTAAGAATCCTTCCCAGTCTTTTTCTTAGGTGATTTGTGTGTGTGTTTTTTTTTTGGTGGGACCAGGGATTGAACTCAGGCCCTTGAGTTTGCCAGGGAAGCGCTTAGTCTACTAAGCCATCTCCCTGGCCCCTTGATTTGTGTTTTGATTCTGATCTCTGTCTAGTTCTTTTTCACTTTCCCAATTTTTTTCTTTATCCTTTTCTCACTCAGCATCTGATTCTTGAGAATCAGATTTATGCTTCCTCTTCTTGCTTTTCTTATGCATTTCTGATTTTTTATAACTTCTCTCAGACCCAGCACTAGAAGAGTGTTCTGAGGCAGAGTGGGATATTTCTTCTATTTTGCTCTCCCTTTACATATTTTTACTCCAATATAAGAGAAACCGTGCAGTATATAAGCCTGTGTCTGGATTACTTCACTTAACACTATGTTCTCAAGTTCACAGGCACCTGGGAGGCTGAGGCAAGGGATAGTCTTGAGTTAGGGGCCAGCCTGCACTATGCAGCAAGACCCTGTCTCAAAACAAAGAAACACATTTGATTCATCTGTTCATCAGTCATCTTCTTTAGATTTTTTTTTTTTTCCAGTCTTTTTGAGACAAGGTCTCATTATGCAGTTCACGCTGGCCTTGAGCTCACTTTGTAGCCCCGGCTGGCCTCAAATTTGCAATGATCTTCCTGCCTCAGCCTCTCTGGTGCTGGGATTATACGCTAGTTTCTTCTATCTGCTTCCTGAAACACACTTATTTTATAACTTCACTAACATTTTTAATTTTTTTACTGATAGAGCATTTCACTACACGATTGAGACAGTGATCCTCCTGTCTCAGCCTCCCCAGCACTGAGATTACAGGCCTGCGAGGTTTGAACCGGCTCGGCATGTGGCACCAGGGATTGTTTGGGACCTTGCACTTGCCAGGCAAGCACTCTGTGCCAAACTGCCGCTAAGCTATCTCCCTAGGTCCTCACTTCCATATTTTAAGATACTGTATCCATGCTAAATGAACAGTATAACTAAACACAGTGGCCCACACCAGTAACTGCAGCACCCAGGAGGCAAAGCTGTAAGAACGTAAGGTTCCAGAACTGCCTGGGCTACAAAGGAAACTGTTTTTGTTTGTAAAGAAAACCGACAAGGAGTGATCATTAAGTGAATGTTCCATAAGACTTACTCTTCATCCTCCTCTTCTCGCTTGTGTTTCTTTTTACAGTGAAGGGAAATGCTGTTGAAGTAAACAGACATCAGTCAATTAAATGTATTTCAGTTTTCATTATCTTTTCTTGCTAATCTAGCTTAACCACCCGACACCCAAAGTTCCCTTCCACGCAGAGTGGGATAGACACAGGTACCGTGGTTGGGTCCTGACAGAACTACAACTACGGACACTTAACTCTAAACTTGGTCACTCCGTGAAGGTAATGAGTAGTAAACAAGAAACACGGGAGAAACACCGCGGGATAAACGCATTTGTGCACGCACTGTGCTAAGCCCGCTCTAGGCGTGATCTCACGGCGAGGATCCATTTCTGTCCCCACTGCCGAGGAGGAGAACGAGGGTCCGTGCTAAAGTTGTCACCAGCAGCGGCCGCGCCGCGTCTGGAGGCTGAACGTGCGCGTGTGCCCGCGCGGGACGCCCGCTCCGCGGCTCGGGCTCCGGCCGCCCGAGCTCCAACTGCAAAAACTCCCTGCCCGGGGCGCAGCCAGGCCGAGGGGGTTGGAGCCAGGCTCCGGCTGTGCGACCTCGGCGAGGCACAGTTAACGTCTCTGGGGAACAAGGTCCTCCTCGGCAAGCGGGGCTACGAAGCTCCCCGCGGAGGTGGCGGGGATCAACGCGCCCGCCCGCCCTCCCGCCGCGCCGCCGGGCTCCTCACCGTCCGCGCGCCGTGCTCCCGCCCGGGCTGCTCGGGGCGGCGCGGTGTCCCGGCCGCGGGGCCAGCTGCGGACTGTGAGCTCCCGACAGGAAGGTCCGGCCCGGGAAGGCCGGAGACGGCTGTAGGAAGTCGGCGCTGCCACCCAGGGACAGGCCGCCGAAGGGCCGGCCGAGCGCGGCCATGGCCGGCGAGGCGAGCAGGCTACGACCGCGACCACGACCGTCCGCGCCCCCAGGCCCGGCCGCGGCCGCCACAGTGACTGCCAAGAGGCGCCCGCCTCCGCTCCCGCTCGGACCCCACGTCACGCCTTCTAGAACCCTCCACCCCGGGCCGCCCAAGGGCACGCCGGGATTTGTTGTGTGCCGAGAACCGCCGCCGCCGCGAGGGATGCCGGGAGTTGCCGTCCAAGCCGACTACAAACAGCATGGCTGCCGGTGACCGAGCTTGTCCATTCCTCAAATTCTGTACCCTCTGCACCTAAACTTACGTAGTAAAATTACAGAATAACTATCTATCTTTATAGGTTTGATGTGAAGAGCAAATGGATTAAAACATGCCAGATGTGATGTTGCACGCCTGTAATCCATTAATCTGGGAGGCTGAAGCAGGATGATTGAAAATTTGAATCGAGCTTGGGCAATTTATCAAGAGGATGGGGGAGAGGGAGCAGGGAGAGGAAAAGTTTGTACTAAACTACATCCCCGGCTTTTTTATTTTTATTTTTATTTTTATTTATTTTTTGCGATACAGGGGATCGCTTTCTCTTTTTACATGATTTTTAAAATTTTATTGAGAAATATGAATGAGACGGTTTCAAAGATGATTAATAGGATGGGGGATCGCTCTGTAGGTCGGTGCTTATGCCACTGAGCTATCTGCCCTCCCCCCTTTTGTAGACACTTGTTAAGTTGCCAGATTGCACACATTGAGCTTTATCCTCTTGCCTCAGCCTTTCAGAGTCCTGGGATTACAGGAGTGTGCCACCATGTCTGGGTAGTGGCCATTTCTTTTATTTTTATTTTTTAAAAAGAGAATAGAACAATTGATAATGTTGTAGGCAGCCAAGTTAGAGAGAAATATTATAGGCAGTTAGACCGAGTTGGGCCCCAAGTAGACAAGATGGAAGACAAGGTGACTTTGCAACTTGGAAGAGACAGACATTCCCATATGGGCCACACCTGAAGACCAAGAGAAAAAGAGGAAGCACAGCTACATACTTCCCTAGGGATGGGCATTAGGGATTGATATCCTAAATAGTATCAATCAACTTGAAAGAGCCCAAATGAGTCACTAGCCCAACCCCAACAGGAAGAGACCCTGTCTGGTATTCATGCCCACTTGCTATGTGACTCGCTTTCCTATTTGATACTGGATTTAATCAATTTTACCTGAGCAATGGTGCTTGTAATCTCATTGGTTGACCATAGCTTTGTCCCACCTTATGCCCAACTAAGCGAGTTCCCATGTCTTCACCACCTTAGACCCACCTCACCACATGGTTTTCCTCCATAAAAGTCCCTGCAAGAGACAACTTGGTGGGGGGGGGGACTACCCGCTTAGGTCCCCCTCCTGTCCCTCTCTCAGACAGGAACTTTCTTTCTCTCAATAAATATATTCTGCTCATAACCTCTGTTTGTTCCTAAAATTCATCCTTCAGTTTTAGAGAACATGAACTCATGCAGGTCAGGTCCAGAGATCGTTTTTCCCTATGTCATTTGGAGGTTCCCTATATTGTTGGGAGGTCACCCACCTGAGACCAGTTTTTCTCCCTGTATCAACAAGACATTAGAAATGATACATAGTTTAAAAAATAAGATGATAGGTATTGAACAGTAGTTGCTATATTGTACATTGCTGTCTTCAATGTAGTTGCTCAGATTACAGATATAAGCATATAAGTTTGGTCAAAGTAAAAATTTTAAGCATTAACTGCTACCTTCAAAAAAAATAGAAATTAGTAATACCATCATTTTAGCTATCCTGTGTATATGCATATGTGATATCACCCTTCCCTCCCCCAGCTTTTTGTCTGAGACAGAGTTTCCTATGCAATTCAGGCTGTCCTTTAAGTCACCAGGTAGCCCAGGCTGGCCTCAAACTTACAGCAACCCTCCTGCCTCAGCGTCCCTTGTGCTGGGGTTTCAGAGTCAATGCACCATGCTTGACAGTCAACTTGATTGGTTTGCGAGAGGCCTGGATTAATACAGCATATTGGAGTGTGTCAGGGGGCGCATGATCTTGGGAAATCACTGTATTTGGTCCTTGGTCTATTCCTCTCAGCCTCTTCTTCTGCTCTGCCATGGGTTGAACAGCTTTCTTTCTTTTTTTTTTTTTTTTTTTTGGTGAAACCAGGGATTGAACTCAGGCCCTTGTGCTTGCTGGGGAAGCGCTTAACCTACTGAGCCATCTCCCCGGCCCTTAGCCATCTTATCTCCCTGGCCCAAAATGAACACAGATATACTGAAAACACAGAATCAAATATTACACTATGTAATTTTTTTTGGCGGGTGGGGGGGCTGGTGGGGAGATAGCTCAGTAGAATAAGCGTTTGCCAGGGAAGCGCTTATTCCACTGAGCCATTCCCTGGCCCCTGAACAGCTTTCTTCTGTCCACTATGATGTTTCTTCTGCCTTTTCCTCTACCATATCTTCAACATGAACTGAAACTTCTGAAACTATGAGCCAAAATAAACCTTTTCTCTTTAACTTGCATGTATCAGGTATTTTGTTCTAGAAACAGAAAAGCTATTTATACTGAAGCTATAAAAATGTTGAGTGAAATTGTTTAAAAGAATAGTTCATGTTGCCAGGGACATAGCTGAGCAGCACAGCACCTGCCTGGCAAGTGCAAGGTTCTGAGTTCAATTCCTGATACACACACAAAAAATAGTTCATGTTCCTAGATCTAAAGACATAATGCTTTAAATTGGAAGTGGTGACACATACCTATAATCCCAGAACTCAGGAGGCTGAGGGAGGAAGATTATTCCAAGTTGGAGGCCAGCCTGGGCTATGTAGTGATTTCAAAGCCAGCCTATACTACAAGGGGAGACTCTATCTCAACCTCTCCAAAAGACAATGTCTTAATATTGAATACTGACCACACTGATCTATAAATTCAATGCAATCCTTATCAGAATTCCAGCTAACTTTTGCAGAAACTGACAAGTTCATTTTGAAATTCATAAACACGCCTGGCATGGTGATACATGCCTATAATCTCAGCACTCAGGAGGCTGAGGCAGGAGGATTGCCATGAGTTCAAGGCCAGCCTGGGCTACATAGTGAGTTCAAAGCTACCCTGAACTACTCAATCAGCACCTGTCACAAGAAAGCAAAACATCAAGTAATGTATAATACATTTTGTTGGTCTTTGTCACTGATTGCTACAGGAAGCATCTACTCTATCTTTGTGATGGGCTGGGGTTATAGACTTGTGGTAGAGCACACGTGCTATGCTGAGTTTAATCACCAGCATCACCAAAAAAGAAAACAGAAAAAACAATACTGGGAATACCTTGAGTTGATACTACTAATGAGGTGAGAAGACTCAGTGGAGGCTGGTATTACGGCTTGGATCTATATGCCCCCTAGAAGCACATAAGCCTTTTTATTTTATCAGACAGGGTCTCCCTATGCAGTCCTGGCTGCCCTTCAGTTGGAGGTTATCCTTTGGCCTTGGCCTCCTAGGGCCTCTTTGCTGAGTTTTCTGTGTATTTTCTGTGTTTTACTACAATAAGTCACAGAGGGGCCGGGGAGATGGCTCAGTGGAATAAGTGTTT